CACGTCACCAGTCTGCAGCATTAAGCGAGAGGAAGACAGCAGGTGTGTGTGCAGGAGAGGTCCACAGTCATATACTCAACCTGGCCCGGGACGGACAGTTGTTTGGAATCAAAGATGACATTTGTACAAGAGATGTAAGAGGAGGTGGTAACAGTTATAGAGGTAGAGTGGGCGGATCCTGGGTGACACACACACACACACACACACACACACACACACACACACACACACACACACACACACACACACAAGGTGGGATGTTTTCTCTAAAGGAATATTCATTAATTTGGCGTCAGGATGAGTGAAAGCCGCTGTCAGTTGATTCTTATGAACCATTTGTCTCAAAATAACATATTATCTCCACACATCATCACCTCCCTTACCGTGGCCTCCACACTCATCCACTATAAGCTGGAATGTTAAAATTTACTATTGTTTGAGTGTCGGTGACGTTCTAAAATTTCAAGTCACATGGCTGGAGGGATCCTGACCACACTCTACAGTACAGGCAGACACTACCAGGAAGTTCTACGAGTGACACTGCGTCTCCATTCATCATATGAGTGGCGGCGGTGTTGTCGGGCCGCGGGTGGCCGGGTCACCTAAGATAGTCAGACAGTCACCATCAATCCACTGCCAGGTGAACATCTCCCCCAGACCGCACTACAGACGTCTGCCTGGCTAGTGAAGGTCTCCAAACTCTTTGGTGTCATCCATCTATCCGTCAGGTTGTCGAACTTCTTGGTCATTACTTAGGTCGTACAGGCAGTCCCTCAAGTTATTTAGGCTAAAACAAATAACACGGAGGAAGTAAAGTGAACTCTTCAAAATTACGAAGAGAAGTGTCACAAAACACTGAATATTAAATATTATTTCTTTTTTACAGTTAAATATTATTTTTTTTCAGTAATGATTTATGGCAGCGTCAGTGTTCCTGAGACAGCCAACTGGTCACAGGTAGTTACGTCGCCTCTCTCACCCTCCGCCAACATGACGCTTCTTCCTCCACAATGCCTCACCTCGCGTTCATCCAGGAGTGAGAAGCAGAATCATCTTAGCCCGGTGATCACTGGGGTAATCTCTCACACGCCTCCAGTCCTCCATTCCAACTTTGTTTTCTCATACAATACAGCGAGTTTGTCCGGGTGGAGGCGCGGGTGTCACGGCACAGTCAAGAACAAGCAGCTCTGTCCTGGGGGGTGACACACGACCGTCTCCACTGTTGTGCTTGGGTTATGACCGCCTGAGGGTGAGGTTGCTGCCCGCCACACTGGATGGGGGGCCATAACATACACATTTTCCTGACTAATGATAGTTTAAAGCTATTAGTTAGTGACCCACATTACTAACAGAAATAAGAAATCACCTTTAAATTACCAGACTATTTAACACAGGTAACAAGGAGAGGACTGGCCCATAGAGCAAAACTAAAAGAAACAGTAATAATATTCGTCTACCTATAAAAACTTAGAGAACTAAAAAATAACAAGAACATTAACAAAAATACAAGGACAAATAGTGAGAAGTGAAGAAGAAGCAAAGAACAATAACGAGAAAAAATAAAAAATTTAAAAGATCAAGAACAACAAGAGAAACAAAAAGACGAAGACGATGAAGAAGAAAGAAAAGACGATGAAGAAGACACACAGTAATAACACTACGTCTTCCTCCTCCTTCAAGACGGACATGATGCTTATATATACTGGTGTTGTGTTGAGACAGTGAGCACAGAACACCGCTCAACCTCACCCCACCCCACCTAGCCCTACCCCACCCCAGCCTGCCCTACCCCACCCCGACCTAGCTTCCCACCCCCGACCTGCCCTACCCCGACCTGCCTACCCCCACCCCTACCCCACCCCCGCCTAGCCCCTACCCCATCCCCACCCCGACCTGCCCCTACCCCGACCTGCCCTACCCACCCAGCCCTACCCACCCCGCCTAGCCCTACCCACCATCACCCTCAACCCGTCAGCACCTGAGAAAACAAATTAACAATAAGAGTTCTCAAGATGCCGTGTTTCTTGCAGGCAGAAGACTGTTTACCTGTGTAAATGTGACGCGAAACAACACACACACACACACACACACACACACACACACACACACACACACACACACACACACACACACACACACACACACACACACACACACACACACTGTTTATCTTTCTTACACATTATCGCCATTTTGTTAAAAGTATTGATAACCATTTAGCTATGAATAAAAAATAATCAAGTGAGTTATACGATAAATAAGGTGGTGAAATAAATTGTATGTAACCCAACCTAACCTAACCTAAGAAGGTGTGTGGATTCATGGAAGGGTGAAACATATGAGAGAGAGAGAGAGAGAGAGAGAGAGAGAGAGACTAAGAAAAGTGGAAGAAACGAAAGAGGGATGGATAACAACGAACAATTATTAAGTGTGTGTTAATAAAAGAACATCATAATGTTAAGAGAGTTGAAGAGTTTACCACAGCAACTGGAATAACAGCAAATGAAGTGAGACTCTACTTTTCCTCGAATCCAGTCACTTTACAGAACAGCAGGAAACAAAATTAAAACTAAAAATAATAAAACCTTTTATTTACTTTCAGACAAAACAACTTTACAGACTCTACAAGCGAAAGCAACTCACTAAAACTCCCCGACTTACACACACACAACCCATCACACTGACAGTTCTAACATGAAACTTTTTGAAACTTTGGCTATAAACTAAAGAGGTTTTTTTCACAAGAATGGTTTCAAGTTAGCTGTGTGTGTGTGTGTGTGTGTGTGTGTGTGTGTGTGTGTGTGTGTGTGAATTATATTTATACAGATATGTTAATTATTTACTCTGTGATACATCAACATAATTAATAATAATGAGAAATAATGGCCGTGTATTCTAAAGACATTTATGCATTTATTACAACAATTATTATTATTATGAATACGAAGAGATATATCATACCCCCAACATTCACCCCCCCTCAAACACCCCCCCTCCCCAAACCCCTTCAACACCCCCTCCCCAAACCCTTTAACACCACCCCCCCCCATCCTGCGGTGGATTTTGCGGAGGACGTTCCCAGGCTTGAGGTGGTCCTCCCCGGTGCACCAGGATTACCTCAGACTCAAAACATTTACTCTGGTGGAGTATAACTTAGCCCCGAGCTGTTGGAGCTGTCAAACAACCCCTTACCCTCAAGCACCTCATCTGACGTCACACCATAACATCCGCCCGCCAATCAACGCCATCTATCATCCACCGAACGCAACTAATTTTGGCGTGAAATGTTGAAGAATAAATCCATGTATAATAAATTTCTCTCCCCGGGAGCTAAAGTGACCTAAGTCTTCAACAGAACCCACACACTGACCACTACCACCTGCCACTAACACCTGTCTCTCAGCCTCTAAACACAGGTACGGTGTTAGTCACATAATGGGCACTCCGAGTCTTGTATTAATATATGTCTCTAGTTAGGTGTTCTCGTTTCACGTGTTACCCCGCCCACCCACTCCTTTCCTCCCTCCCGTGTGTTGTTACTGTGAGTGGTGAGGAGTGTGTTCGACCCCCTGACTCACAGCTGCGTCTAGGTGAGTCACGGGTGGGGTAGTGAGTCATTGGTATGGTGAGTCACAGGTGGGGTAGTGAGGCATTGGTATGGTGAGTCACAGGTGGGGTAGAGTGAGTCATTGGTATGGTGAGTCACAGGTGGGGTAGTGAGGCATTGGTATGGTGAGTCACAGGTGGGGTAGAGTGAGTCATTGGTATGGTGAGTCACAGGTGGGGTGGTAATCGTGGTATGGTGAGTCACAGGTGGGGCAGTGAGTCATTAGTATGGTGAGTCACAGGTGGGGTAGTGTCATTGGTATGGTGAATCACAGGTGGGGTAGAGTGAGTCATTGGGATGGTGAATCACGGGTGGGGTAGTGAGTCAATGGTATGGTGAGTCACAGGTGGGGTAGTGAGTCATTGGTATGGTGAGTCACAGGTGGGGTAGTGAGTCATTGGTATGGTGAGTCACAGGTGGGGTAGTGAGTCATTGGTATGGTGGGGAAGAAAGGTGTCACTAAATACACCATTTTAAAACTTCTACCACTTAACAGAACCCCTTAAAGACCTTTACCGCTTAACACTTCAGAACCTCGACCACTTAACAAGGCATATAACAATGTAGGTGATTAATGCAGATGCAGAGGGAATTTTGGATCACCCTGTACACATTATACATAACCTGTACAGTTGAGTGCGTTAGGTCAAAGGATATACTGGATACGGTAGATAGAAAATGCACTTTGTATTGCTATCTGGGGGAGGGGAGACTCTCACAAATTAAATAATAATCATAACGAGTTTACTACAGACTGAATTCTTAATGTTTCGTCTGTTTACATTGGGTGTTGGTAAATAAAACGAAAGTAATTTAAAAAACTGCCAAAACGAAAAAAAATGTCATCGGGTAAACAAACCTCAGGTGAAAAAGTTCGTCAAATTTGGCCAACTTATGTAACTTGATGTACCTATTTGTACCGTGGTTAGGTTAGTTCTTTGAGACACAGTGGGTGAGTGGTGTGTGTGTGTGTGTGTGTGTGGTTCCAGGGGTATATAATCTAGGGTGTTTATTTTCTTCCTTTTTTGTTTTTCCCCCCATATTCGTTAAATTTCTACATGTCTACATTATTTAATTTACCAGCTGTGTTGTGTTGTCTATGAGTCACTTGAATTCTTACGTCACCAGTTATGAGACATTTGATGTACAGTTTTGGGATTCGGATTGGAATTACTTGAATTTGACACTCCAGCTATTCTCACCCGAATATTAACCACCTTAACGCTAATCTAATCTAACCTAACCCCTCAGGTAAGTATTAGAGTGGTTAATCTTCAAGTGAACAGGGCTGGGGTGTCTAGTGTTCAATGTGACCCGTCTCCCTGTAGCTCTGCACCTGAGACTGGAAAAACAGGAAATTCTTGAGTAAAATAAACAAATGCCTCACACTTACCTCTGAGCTGGGTGTCTGGCCTGCGACATGTGGTGGGAGACTTCTGACGAGTTCACTGGTCCGTGATTGGCTGATCCTATGACGGAGCCGGCGTTGTGACTGGCCGGACCGACGAAACACACGTTCTGATTGGTGGGTCCCACTATACACCCACCGTGAGAGACCGGTGGGGCCATACACGAACTGTGATTAGTCTGGTGGAGTATTTCCATATTGGTACCCCCCTCCCCTAGGCGAACGCTGTGGGTTAGGTCAGCAGGGACCACCACAGGATTAGGGGCGCCGTCTCCTGCCCTGAGGGGGACGGTTTCGGGTTCCCCCCCGACCATTTGGGCCCCAGAGTAACGCAAAGGCACACCTCGTCTAGTCCTGTGATCCTTGTTCATGGCACAAAATATCACCAGAAGCACAACACACACGAGCGACACCATGGCGCCGATGTACACAAGCACCTGCAGCACGACACAAGGTTACGTCACACTACTGCTCTATAAAACACAACTGGACATTATCTGTTACTGTACTGAGCGGCTGTGTCGCTCAGGACAAACTTGGAAGCTCACAACCTGGAAAAATCTTTAAGATAAATTCTTCTGAGGTGATGATGTTATGAAACAACTCAGAGAAGACAATAGATATTTCTTAAGAGAGAATAAATAAAACTAAATATGGCATCAGCATCTTATAAGGAATAGAACTGAGTCACCTTCAAGCTCAAATAAAACATTAAATTTAAAGGGAAAACAATGAAAAGTTTACCTTCCTCTAATATATCGAGGTAATACTGAGATACCACCTACTGCCTGATGACGTAACGGTGTGGTCTCTGGTGTTAGTGACGTCTACACCAAATTAGTTTAAGACGAACACCAGAGACCTCCTACACCAAACAGGAGGGTTGAAGGGGGGGGGTTAATATTAAAGCACCGGCCATATTATAGACCATCATGTTGACCGTGATAAAATATAGTTACTCTTATTTGTGATTGTATGATTTTTTTTTGAATTGTATGAGCCATATTTTTGTTTGCTTGAAGGGGAAACTTTGATTTTTTTAGATAATTATATTTCTCCTATAAGGGGATAGTGAGTGGCACAGGGAGGCGTGTTGAGGGCCTAGATAACACCACCATTGAGTCCCTTTAGATAAAATAGTTTGCCGTGTGTGATATACTTGTCAGGAGTTACTAGAGCAAAAAAAAAAAAAAACTTGGGGTGTGTCGAGTAAACTGGTTCCTCTCCTCGATACAGGACAACAGGTAGTAATACAACACCTGCCTCCATGAAAGGCTCATCTATGACATGCGAGGTAAACATTGTACTGAGCATTAGCTATAAGGAATAAATAAACGATTATATTCCCATTTGTATATTATTTTATGATTTACTCTTTTAATGTTAAATATACGGAATATATACTCAAATATACTACAGGCTAATGAATTACTTGTGCGCCAGGTAATTAAATAACCTGTCTGATGTGAAGGGCAAACTGAATTATAAAAACATCAACTGCATTTCTATTTCTATGATATTTTAGACCATATTATCTGTTCATTGTTAATCTAGATAATCTGTTTATGTTTACAGTCATAAAAAACATAATCTACATCACGAGGTCCAATCAACCAACAAGAGCTGTCGTTGGCTGATTTATTAACTGTTGTCTTAGTGTCGTTAAACAGGGTACCAGGCACATTATACACTACCTGGAGATGCGCGACGTGTTGCCTGTGGAAGACGCCGCCAGCCACCAGGAGGGAGAAGCCAGTCACGATACCCGCCACGAACACCGCCTGGGCCGCCCTGAAGCAGTAGTAGTGGCACCTCTCACACCTGGACCCCTCACCCCCGACCACGAACCGCCCGCCGCCCCACCCGCCCGCACCTGCCGGAGGGGACACACAGGGGTGAAGTTTGTCCAGGTGGAGTTTGTTTTGGGTGGCTGCTGAGTACAATATGGAGACTTGTTGCATCATGTACTGTACGTGTGTCATATACCAGCTGAAGCCTCTCTCTCTCTCTCTCTCTCTCTCTCTCTCTCTCTCTCTCTCTCTCTCTTTTCTGTATTTCTATATACATATCTAATAGTCTCTAATTTCTGTATATATCTACACACACACACACACACACACACACGTAACTCACCAGTCTGGGGTATGATGGTAGGAGGGACGCCCCAGCCTCCGCCGCCACTAGTAGACGCCTGGCCACTGGACCCCCCAGCACCGCCTCCTGCAGTAACACAGCACACGTAACACCTCCACAATACCTTATTCTTTCTCTACTGTACAGGTGTTTACAGAGTCCCTTGATGTTTGTGTTTACAGAGTGCCCTCATGTTTGTGTTTGTAGTTCCTTGATGTTTGTGTTTCCATAATCCCTTGTTTGTGCTTACAAAGCTCCTAATGACCCCTGAACCCTTGACATGACCCCTGATCCTCTTCCAAAACCCCTGAACCCATGACATGGCCCCTGATCCCCTTCCATGACCCCTGAACCCATAATATGACCCCTGATCCCCTTCCATGACCCCTGAACCCTTTGATTATATGGCCCCTGAACCCATGACATGGCCCCTGAACCCCTGACATGACCTTAAGCATTAGTATTGCGCTTCACCTTGCACAGGATGTAAGGGGGTGCCCAATACTTTAGCCCCTCGTGGACAATCTAAAAAAAATATCTGTGAATGAACCTTAAGAATGTGGTTGACTACTCACCAGGCGGGAGGTGGTGTATGGGGTGTAGTGCGGGGTGGTGTTGGCCGTACACCCCCTGAGCCAACACCGGGCACGACCCCTCGCCCACCGTGAATACACCCCCGGGCATGCTGGCCACCCCTGGCAGCGTGGGCGTGCTCCACAACATCTGGGGGTCCACCCATGGCTGCTGCAGCGTCCCCGGCACCGAGTGTACCGAGTGGGCGGTCGTGGGCATCGGATGGGCCGCGCTGTGGAGGGAGTGGGCGGTATGGGAGTGAACGACTCCATGCCCGGTGTGGGCGTGTGGGCCGACCTGAGTGGCCCGGGCGGAACTCACCGCTGTGTGGGCGCCGCTGACGCTGTGACTCTGGTGGGCCATATTAAGGCTCGGGTGGGCCACGCTGAGGCTAGGGTGGGCCGCACTGTGGGTGGAGAGGGCCACACTGAGACTGGGGTGGGCCACACTGTGGGCAGGGTGGGACGTGGTAGGCTGGTAGGGGGTAGCATACTGGTGGGCGAGGACATCGTGGACACGGTGGGCGTCAGCGTGGGCACCATGGGCCACCTGCTGCTGTTGCTGCAGCTGTTGTTGTTGATGTTGCCCAGATGAGGTGCTGCTCTCCCCGCCGTCCTCCGCCACCCACGGGTTCCTGTAAACACAAACACAACACACAGCACTGTACTGTTGACCTCTCAGGTAAAACAACATCTGCACCACCACCTGAGAGTGTCTGTATTTATGCTGTACATCCTAACGCGTAGTTATCATCATCATCATCATCATCATCATTATAACAAGACTAACAGACTTCTCTCTCAGTACAACACAACAACACATTTACCGAACAACAGACGTTTTGTTACCAACTTAAGATTAGAAACACCATCTTATTTCACCTGAAGATTAACCATCCTGACACTACCTAGAGGGTTTGGTTAAGTAGGTTATATTGGGCAAGGTTAAGTTAAATTGGATAAGGTTAGGTTATAAGTAGGTTAAGTAAGGTTTGATATGGTTAGGTTAATGTTGGATAAGATTTAGTCAGGTTAGTTTTGGTAAAGATAAATTAAATTAGGTGAGCGGTATGTCAGGTTAAATTAGGTTAGGTTAGCGTTAGGTCAGGTTAAGTTAGGTTAGGTACGGTTAGGTTAGCGTTAGGTTAGGTTAGGTTAGGTTAGGTTAGGTTAGGTCAGGTCAGGTTAAGTTAGGTTAGGTACGGTTAAGTTAGGTTACCATTAGGGTTGGTTAATCTTCAGATAAAATAAACTAAAGGAACGAATCTTCAAAATAATCGTTAACTTTAGCGGTAAAGCGGCACTTCCCACAGCGCTACTTACCTTTTCTCCGCTAAAATATCGACAGCCAGGAGCCTCAAGCACCTCCCGCTATATAAGAGCGATAAGACTCCCCATCTCCCACAATGAGCTGGTCGACCGAGCCACTCAGCCCCCGCCAAGTTTTTCTCCTCACGCCCAGAAATTATGACTTTACTCGCTATGATAACTTGGTGTGAGAGAGAGAGAGAGAGAGAGAGAGAGAGAGAGAGAGAGAGAGAGAGAGAGAGAGAGAGAGAGAGAGAGAGAGAGAGAGAGAGAGAGTATGAAATAAAGAGACATCCATATTATTATAAAAAATAAAGAAAACAAAGGAACAAAGAAAGAAAGAAAGAAAGAAAAGTAGACAAATGAACAAAGAAAAACAAAAGGAAGGAAACAGAAAAAGAAAAGAAAAAATCTATAGAAAACAAAAATAAACTGAAGTAAATGAAAGAAAAAGAAAATTGAGGAAGAAACATGACTTATCATAACTCACCTTATTGACATGACTTACCTCACTCATATGACTCACTTCAAAGACATGACTCACCATAACTCACCTCAATGACATGAATAACCGTAATGATTTCGTTTCCAAGAATGACTCACTTGACATGACTCACCTCAGTGGCGGTTTGAGGCAGGAGCGAGGTGCAGCTGTAGACATGTCACCTCACATCTTCCACCTGCAACAATGACATGACATCAGTGACTCGGAATAAACAAATGACTAACATGACATCAGTGACTCAAACAAATGACTAACACGTAAACAACTCATAATAAACAATATTAACATGAATAATAACACATCAATGGGTAAGTTTATTCACTCTAGGGTAAATATTATTCACTCTGGTAGCTCTAATCATACATTTAAATAACCTAAGACATCGTATACTCTGCACTCTAGCATATAAGAATATCTTGCACTCTGGGACTACAATCTTGAACTCTGACACCCCCTAATACCTTCACTCTAATAACTAATATCATGCACTCTAAAACTTTAATAGCCTTTTACTCTAGTAACTCAAATCTTGCACTCTGACACCGGCAATCATTCACTCTTAGGATTTAAAACAACTTGCACGGCCTAAAAAATGCCATGCACTCTGACACCCGCCATTCACTCTAACACTGATAATCATGTACTCTGACACCCGCCATTCACTCTAACACTGATAATCATGTACTCTGACACCCGCCATTCACTCTACCACTGATAATCATGTACTCTGACACCCCCAAAACCCTTCGACGTCTTGCACTCTACCACCACCTTTCACACTCTCCCTCAGATGGTGGTAATAAAAACACTCCCTTATTTAGCCAGCTGTCCCGTCCGCTCACCTGTGGTTTACCTGCAATTTACCTGAAGTGTATTTACAGGTGTTTTAATTACTCACTGCCACAGGTAGATATTTTCTTTGGTTTACCTGAAGATTAGCTCCTCCATCCCTTCCGTTAATTTCTCCTTGAGATTAACCATTCTAACACTAACCTAACCTAACCATATCCTAACACTAACCTAATCTAACCACATGTTAATCTAACCTAAACATACCCTAACACTAACCTAATCTAATCTAACCACATGCTAACGCTAACCTAACCTAATCTAACCACATGCTAACGTTAAGCTAACCAAACCCAACCAGGTCCCAGAGCTAACTTAACCACAGATAATGACTTAAAATTAAATTAAGTTTGTATACAATGTCGTACGAAATCTGTTTGTCATGTATGCAGAGTGTGGTAAAACACGGCTGTCTAACACGGCAGAATAAAGAGCCGGATGTGTGTGTGTGTGTGTGTGTGTGTGTGTGTGTGTGTGTGTGTGTGTGTGTGTGTGTGGGCAAGTACTTAATTTATTATTTAGTATTTATTATTTGAACAAAATTGGGCAAAGCATTTCTAAAATTCATGAGAGTTGATCAGGTGAGAATAGGGAGGGAGGTGTGTGTGTGTGTGTGTGTGTGTGTGTGTGTGTGTGTGTGTGTGTGTGTGTGTGTGAATATCTAAACAAATTTCCAAAATCAGTAAAATAATTTCTCCACACACACACACACACACACACACACACACACCCCACGAAATCATCTTCCACCAACCAGGCTGAGACGTGGTCATTCTGGGTCACTTTATGCTTCACCCATGGGGAATCGGTCACTTGCTAAGGTGGGGCAGGGGGGAAGGAGGGGCAGATGATGGAAAGGTGTAGGAGGGGAGGGGGGGTAAGGGAAGGGTTGCATGGAGGGAGAGAGAGTGAGAGTGGAAGAGAGATAACAGCTCTGGGAGGGAGAGATAACAGGTAGAGAAGGGAGAAATTTAAGGAGTGGAGGAGGTAGATGGGTAGAAAGGCACGAACTCATCTGCTAAACAACGTCATCTACCGGGGCATAGTAGATAAAAGCCGAGAGTAGATGACCATATTAGCGCTTGAATTCTGTCATCTAAAGGACCTTCCTCAGATAAGAGAGAGTAGTGTGGTTGATGTGGTATATACTACAGGGTGTCCCAGTCCTGCCTTCCCCTATCTGCTCCCTGGAGACACTGCTGTGAGTTGGAGGGAGGGAGGGAGGGAGAGGGAGGGAGGGAGGGGAGGGAGGGGGAGGGAGGAGGGAGGCAGGCAGGGAGGGAGGAGGGAGGAACAGAGCAGGCAGGGAGGGAGGCAGGGACAGTAGTTCTCTGGGACACCTTACATACACTACACGCCTCCACCAAAGCCCAAGGTTGAGACAATACTAACGCTTATAAACTGAAGTGTGTCGGTAAAATATTCATGCTCCTATAAGCCTTCACTAAAGCCCCCGAGTTGAGAAAATATATTTAAAATGACCCCAGTAAGTCCAGAATGCATATTAAGGAACACTAATCCACCTACCTTCTACGAGTACATACTGTATATAAACCTACTAAATATGTTACCTGAAGAGAGAGAGAGAGAGTTACATTGAGATTCTGTCTCCGGAGATGATGATGATGATGATGATGATGATGATGATGATGATGACGATGATTATAATAATAATGTATAAAAAATCTCTCCTACACAAGGCGGAAGCAAACTCCCTCGCCACACTGGGAACTTGGAGAAGCTTGAGTGACAGAGAACAGAATAGAGAAGCCACACCGGCTGACGTTCACTCTGCCAGGGCGAGCTTCTCCTTCTTCCAAGAAAGAGAAAGTCTCTCTCAAAAGTATCTTACTCTTATCCTTGTCAGTGAGTGAAGAAGTTATGAAGTTGTCAAGGAAGTGGCGGCTTTTGTCGAACAAGATAAGTTTTCTGTTCAATGCACAGGGGGAGGCTGGCGGCTGGTGGTGAGGGAGGAGGGGAGGCTGGTGGTGGTGAGGGAGGAGTTGGGGGCTGGTGGTGGTGAGGGAGGAGTTGGGGGCTGGTGGTGGTGAGGGAGGAGTTGGGGGCTGGTGGTGGTACGGGGAGGGAGGTGGGCTGTTGGTGGGGGTAGAAAGGAGGAGGTGGGGCTGGTGGTGAGGTGAGGAGGGAGGGGGCTGTTGTTGGTGAGGAGGGAGTGGGGCTGGTGGTGGTGAGGAGAGAGGAGGTGTTTCTGGGGTGGGGTGAGGTGGAGGGAGGAGGGGCGGCTGGTGGTGGTGAGGGAGGCTGGCGGCTGGTGGTGGGGAGACTGGCAGCGGCTGGTCGGGTGGTGGTGAGGGGGCTGGCGGCTGGGGTGGTGGTGGTGAGGAGGGTTGGCGGCTGGTGATGGGTGGTGGTGACAGGGGCTGGCGGCTGCTGGTGATGGGTGGTGGTGAGGGAGGCTGGCGGCTGAGTGGTGGTGGTGGGGAGGCTGGCGGCTGGTGTGGTGTGGTGTGAGTGAGGAGGCTGGCGGCTGGTGGTGGTGGTGAGGGAGGCTGGCGGCTACAGTGTGGTGGTGGTGAGGGAGGTTTGGCTGAGGTAATCCGTTGGTGGTGACGGAGGCTGGCTGGCTGGTCAGGTGGTGGTGGGGAGGTTGGCAGCTGGTGATGGTGGTGGTGACAGAGGCTGGCGGCTGGTGGGTGAGTGAGTGAGGAGGTTGGCGGCTGGGCAGTGGTGGGTGGTGACCAGGAGGCTGGCAGGCTGGTGGTGAGTGGTGAGAGGGTTGGCAGCTGAGTGATGGTGAGTAGGGGAGGTTGGCAGCTGGTGATGGAGTGGTGGTGGTGAGCGGAGGCTGGCGGCTGGTGGTGTGGTGAGTGAGGGAGGTTGGCGACTGGTGAAGTGGGTGTGGTGGTGACGGAGGCTAGCGGCTGGTGGGTGAGATGGTGGGGAGGTTGGCGGCTGGTGGTGGTGGCAGGTGAAGGTAGGGAGTTAGCGGCTGGTGATGTGGTGGTGGTGAGCAGGCTGGCGGCTGGTGAGTGTGGTGAGGAGGTTGGCGGCTGGAGGTGGTGGTGGTGAGGAGGCTGGCTGGTGATGGTGGTGGTGAGGGAGGCTGGCGGCTGCTGGTGGTGGTGGTAAGAGGAACTAGCGGCGGTGAAGCCACTGCTCATATTTTCATATTGTACTCCAGTATTTTCTTTCATAACTTTCCCGGGAAAATGGTGATATTGTTGTTATTATTACCCTGCCGGAGACTGAGGGCGGTGCACCGTCTGTCTGTCCGCAAACTAACTAAAGAACAGGTTAGCGCAACTTAGCGGATTAGCGCTAAACTTGGCAGGTTTGATCAACATGTGACAAGGTCCACATGATTAACTTTTGGTGAATATCGCGTTAAAACTGAACAAGTGTTGACATGGAAACGGTTCGGGCAATAATAACACTCTGGGGTTTCCGGTGAATAAAGAAAACGTTGACATGAGACAGCCTCCAGCAGTAACTATATTAAATTACAGTATCAGTAACAGCGTCAGTAGTTCAGTATTTACCCTGACGCGGTGATAGAGTGCGATAGGGTGCGATAGGGTGTGATAGAGTGCGATAGAGTGCGATAGGGTGTGTATCCCTTAGCTGATGGTGTATTATTAATGTCATTACTGTTATTAATTATTATCACCAACATTATTTTCACTATAATACAACCATTATTATTTCTGTGCTCACCTGTACGGGCCACACCCAGGAGCCGGTTAATTAGTAGCACACACTGCCCCTCCCTCCAGTACCCAGGTGTATATTATTATACTTACTTAATGTTGTTGGTACTGCCCACCACGCCACCCACCACACCTACCACCACCATGAAACCACACCTACGCCACCACCACACACCACCACCACCATGACACACCACCCTCACCCACCCACCACACCCACCACCACCACAACTCCACCACCATGCCACCACCACACCACCACCACCCATGACAACCACCACCCTCACGCCACCCACCACACCTACCACCACCATGACAACTACCACCCTCACGCCACCCACCACACCCACCACCACCACAACTCCACCACCATGCCACCACCACACCTACCACAATCTCCACTCTACGCCACCCACCACACTCACCACCACCACCACATCTACACACAATCCTACCACCATCACCACGACAACTACCAACCTCACGCCCAACCATCACTACTACCACCACCACGCCAACCACCATCATACCAACCACCACACACCCACCACCACCACCACATCCAACATTACGCCCTCACACAATACAACCCGTATATAATGACGTGTAAATTTTGTCTCCGGGAGAAGAGAGAGGGAGAAAGATGGGAGGAGAGGGG